AACCACCCGACCTTGTCTGTTTCTTCCTGCACGCTATCTCTTTTCCTACACCCGCTTCATTCACTCCCTCACCTCCTGCCCACCCCGACTGCTTGCTTCACACAGACACTGACTTGCTCCACCATCACCAACTTTCATTCACTTGCCCACATCCCCAATCCACTTCCTGCCTTCCCTCACTTCTGCTCTCCTCCCCGCTCTCATTACTCCCCCTCCCACACCCTTCCCTGTCATTTTCAACTGCGCAAACTTTGCCCCATTCTCTTCCATCTGCATGGAACCTGGGTCCAAATCGAGGGAACAACCAATGTCAAAGCCCCCACCAACTCATCCTCCGCAACCTCACTCCCACCAACCCTCTCACTTCCCTCTTCATCAACCATCCTATGCCTATCCCACCTCCGCACCTTACCCATCCTTCCCACCGCCGTCCTCCTCCTCGGCCTCCTACCACACCTCCCACACTTTGCTTGCACAATCCCACCCCCTTCCCTCCTCTGTACAGAAACTTTCCCCCACCATTCCGACCTCTACGCGCCAAACATCTGCGCCTCACCTCCAGTCCCAACCGCAACCGGTAGCGCTTCCGCCCAACCCGACAAGACAAGTGCCTGCCGCGCGTCACAGAAACCTCACGCAGCAGCAATCTTTCTCCCCTGCTTTTAATTCCTCCGCTCTGAACGCTCCGGTATCTTCATCTGCTCAGCATGTGTACGCATCGCCTCCGACGTCCCTTCTCTCTCGCAATGTAACCCCCGGTCACCCGCAACCCGCATTATCCAAGTCGATATCCTCCCACGATCCTTCCTCTGCTGGTCTGCAACACTCGCCTGTCTTGAATCGACAAGCCGCTGCGCAGCAACCGCCGCAGCAAAATGTTTTTCGAAACGATAATTTTTTTTCAACTCTGCCTCAGCGACAGAAAAATTTAGCGTCGCGTCAGCCGCAGCAACCATCACCGCAGCAACAACAACATCTCCAGACTCAGCCGCCCCAACATCCGTCGCACAATGCAGACATCAAAGTATCGAATCGGAATTTGCCTTTCCCGGTTGACAGACTCTCGCCGCACGCTGAGCCCTTTCAGAATAGCAAATCGCTTCCGTTTCCCATATCTCACCATCCGCTCCCAACGTCTCCTGCGGGGCTCTCTCCGTCAAACACGCGTCCACCAAATCCTGGACCATCATCTACCGCACTTCCGGTACTCTCGCAACGGTCGACCTTACCTCCGACTCTCGCTGCGGCTTCGAATGTCACTCAGAGCCACCCCAGTACTCGAGGTTTGCTTTATGATATTTCCAAATTGCATGCCGCCCAGTGCACCATCATCGGAGGCAAAGTTTACAACGACAAAGGACATAGCATATGCGGCGTTTTGAATCAGCACGATAAACCATGCAAGCGAATTGGAAAATGCCCCTTCCACGGTGTCTCTCAACCTGTTTCCGCCCAGAATTCCTGTCACGGTTATGTCGACGAGTTGGGCACAGCACCAGCACCCGCCAACGACGATAACGGCCTGCCTGGTAGTGGAAATGCTTCCGGTGACCCAAACGGTACAGGGGTGAGCGTTACGTCCAACCCCGATACTGGGCCCAAGGGAATTCCCAAGAAGCAGCAGTATAAACATGGCTGGTCGAAAGAGGAGCATTACCTTTTCTTGCGTGGGCTTCAGATGCACGACAGAGGCTCATGGAAGCAAATCTCCAACGTCGTCCAGTCCAGAAACGCCACCCAAGTTCAGTCACATGCCCAAAAGTACTTCCTTCGACAAAAGCAAAACAACAAGAACAAAAGGTCCATTCATGACCTTACTATGGATTCCCCCGAGATGCAGGAATTGGAGAAGCGTTACCGAAATGGAGACTTTAGGAGCGTGGTTCCTCCAGTAGGACTGTCGGAGGGCTTGTACGACCCCTCTACTGGCGATGGGGGCGCTGGGAGGGTTCGAGATGATCATGCAGCGGGTCTCGGTCAAGGGATATCCGGAGCGAATCAAGGCATCACAGCTTTTGCGCAAAGTAACACCGTTGGCCATAACATGATGGCTGACGGAAACCTGCCCCGATTTGGGCAGGCGGGCGGCGTCGCTATGCCTAGGCTCGGTCAGGGACAACCGGTAAGCGCGACGACACTTGGGTCGTCGGTTAGTTCTGGAGTCCACATACCCCAACTTCAAGGTGGGCACCAAGCTAGAGGGGCGTTCCAGGGCACTGCCGGTTTCATGCAAACACACGACCTGCTGGGCCACACTGGCAATGCTGCGCAAAAGAAGTTCAACAACATGAAAACAATGCGACCCAGGTCTGACATTCCACAGGGGAGGGATGCCTTTCATTCCGGGTCGCGACCTAATTTCGGACAGGAAGTGTATCAGTCGACATTGACTCCAACGCAGTCGGGGATCAATTCAATGATGACAGTTGGACATGGTTTCTCGCCGAAGACTGAACAGAAAACGCTCGACCCCGCGCTTCTCCAGCCCGGAATTGACCGCAGTGGTGAAACGCAGAACGACCACGGACCGAATCAGCAAATGTACACGCAGAACGGATTTCCAGGTCTATACGGGCAGTCTGGCGGAAACAATTTATTCCACCAGGGACAGTCTCGACCCAGTGGCGAGAACCAGCTCGCATGGCCGTATGACAGCGATGGGAAGAGCAGGAGACCGCGGGAAATGGGTGGGCGAGAGTCAATTAGCTTTCAGAACTCGTTCGGTGGGATGGCTAGTGATGGGTTTGGGCAGGTCAGCAATATCCCTGTCATGTCGAGCGACAATCATGTCGTGACGGGCTTCGAAGGCCCAGGGAATCATGGGGCATCCTTCCAGACTGCCCTCTTTGGCAGCCCCGACGCTGTGGAAGTGGGCGACAATCCAAACTCATACAGTATCAATGGTCAGCCACAGGCAGGGGTATCGATAAATGGGTTTGCGGCCCCCGCCGGATTGCAATTAAATGGCCTCTCCGTTCGTGGTCAAGGCAACGTGCCCAATACTTTCGTAAGGAACTAGAGTTTCGCGAATCGCATCACGGTCAATGTCTTGAAAACATGCAAATACGAGTCGCGCCGTGTTTCTTGTCTGAAGGAAGGTGGCGGGAAGCTTTCCCTCCGTCTAATATCGTCTGGCGAGACGGGCAATTGGCTGTCGTCGATCGAGGTGAGCTCCAATGGTCGCCGATGCCCCTGGCTTTGTAGTAAAATGGCGAGCACATGTCGGTGCTCATTGTAACAATGTTACAGATGGAGTGGCCATATGGGGTTACGAGAGCAATAGACTGACGCAAATGTCTAGGTGCTCTTGTGCAAAGAAGGGAAGCTTGCGTGCAACATTATCCCGTACTCTAATTCGACTACACAGGCTGCGTTGTCCATAACAGAAGGGAGATGTTCCGTGTCATTGCCGATGCACGGAAGACCGTTCTCTCGCAGCCTGTTTCCTATCGAAATTTTTTCAAATTGACTTTCAACGTCGCACAGGTGTAGCTGACTCTTTAACTTTGCTAATCTCTTAAGTGCAAAAAGATTTATGTAAAGGTGTTCGGACAGTATCCTTTCAGTCTACTTGTTTTGTGTGGGCGTTCCGCGCATCCTTTACGTGCGTGATATGTTTAAACAAGTCGAAATAAGCAGAGGTTGTCACCGGCTTCTGACGAGGGTTTGACCATACTTTGAATTTAGTGGGATGTATGGTTTCCCTTCAAGGTTTCGGCATCCGTAAAGGGCGTCACATAAGCCATTCTAGTTTGCACGCATACCCTTTGAGCACACAAACAAAACACGGCGTGTAAGGCGAATCCTTTGCAATGTTGATTTAAGCACCAGAGGCGAGCTGACTGGCTTCGGCCTCCCAAAAGCTTTCGCTCTCAGGCGACAACACGCTCTTACTTTCAAACTGCTGCCTACCCGTCATTTTCAAATTAACCTCCAATGCGGCCTCCTTCGATCGCTTGGCCACCATCTTCGCGATGAAGTCGGCCTGCCACGCGGTGAAACTCTCGACAGTAACTGGGGTTCCCAGAGCTTTACCCTGAATAACTTCGACCTTTTCTTCTTGGGACGAGTCGAAGGTCTCAAATTTCTTTGCCATCTCCCTCTCATAGTCCTCGTCAACTACGGGCTGTCCGACAACGTTGTCCCGGAGCCAGTCCTTAGCATCTTCGCAGAGTGTGAAGGCGCAGGGCATGGCCATCTCAGCATTGTCCTTGGCTTTTTGCACGAGGAAGTCCTGGAGTATCTTACGGCTGGATGTGGTCAAACCCTCCAGCGCATGAGCGACGACGATGATGGGCTCCTCCGGGTAGTTTGTGGTGTGGGTGAAGCCGAGCTTGAGTTTAACAGTGTGAGATATATCGTCTTCAACGTCGATTTCGAAGCGGGCGCCGAGAGAATCGGAAGGGCCCTGCAGTGATTGATATTCGGCGGCAAAGATGGCTTCTAAGGCCTCCAGCTCGGTAGCTTGCTCCTCTTTTGGATCCATTGCGAAGTCGCCGGCAAGGAGGGACGAATCACTTCATTCGGAGCAATACAGTGCAATTGCGAGAGGCTTGTGCTCGGCGCGAAGGTGCTGAGGAAACCCTGCTGGGGTAAACTGATACCTCCCGTTGTTAAAAGGAAATGGGATCTGGGGAGAAGAAGGCAACGCTTCGGGGTGGGGAGTTGACGTCGAAATGTTTTAAAAAGGTCTCCAAAACATTTTCAAGAATTCCTGGTCCGAAGCGATTCATGGCGCCTGAGTTTATGCGGACTTGTACTGTACCCTTGTCATCGGCATACTTTGGGTAGTACGTATGAAACATCACATTTTCATGGCCTTGTTTAACATCAACGCATGTAATGCGTGTATCCCGACACATGGACTTCTGTTGCGACATAAATAATGCTTATGCCTCGTTTCCTCTTCCCCTTCCTTCCATCCTTAACTTCCGAAAACCCTCCTCCCAGCAAAAGATGCCTTCCCTACGTCACTGGCCCGTCTGCTTCTACGTCCCCAATGTGATTGGTTACTTGCGGATCGTCCTCTCCGTCGTCGCCCTCACTCACTGGCGCTCCCCGTGGAAGTTTTTCGCGTACTACTTCACCGGCTTCGTCTTAGACGCCGCCGACGGGCTTGCTGCGCGTACCCTTGACCAGACCTCGGCCTTCGGTGCCCAGCTTGATATGCTCACGGACCGCTGCGCGACCGCCGCCTTGTTGACTATTCTCGGTGCACTCTACCCGCCCTGGGCGTTTTTGTGTTACGCCCTCATCTTTTTGGACGGTTACTCGCATTGGCTCCAGATGGTTGCCAGCGCTTGTGCCGACGCTGCGTCGCACAAGTCGGCTACGAATAGTGAACTGCTGAAGTTCTATTATTGGAGACCAGCGTTGACGGTGGTGTGTTCACTTAATGAGATGTGCTTTTTGGCGCTGTACATGAAAAAGGTCTCGTCGGCACCAGACTTTTTGCCTGGCCTCAGCTTGTTCGATGCCATTTTGTATCTCGCCGCCCCAGTTTGTGCACTCAAACAGGTTATTTCATTGTTCCAAGTTGCATCCGCACATGAAACTATTGCCGATTCGCTGTGACGAAACAAGAGACCTGCGTTGGCGCTTGTATGCTTGTTCCCAATATGCGTAGCACAGCTTGTACGGAAACATCCGTCTTACCTTTTCCCTGACATGCAATGAATTGCCGAGTTCAAATGCGAAGGGTTGTGTTGCGAAAATCAATTTATATGCTATATATTTTGCCGCATTTTTGGCTTGGATTTAGCTTGGGTGTCTTTCTGCGACAAGAGCAAACCAGCATGACACTTTTGGTCCATCGTCTACGGTAGAGTACATGCGCTTCGGCTTATAGTCAAGTGCAATGCCCGATTTGTCACTCAAGCTTCCAGCTACTCTTTGTTTTTTCTTGCAGGCCATGTGCGGTCAGCAAGTCATTTTGGAACTGCGAGACAAGTATCAAGTGTGTGGCCTGCTCGACTCGGTAGATCCGAGGATGAAGTAAGTCTACTCGTGAATCGCGTCATAACTTGCCCCTCTCTCATCGTGGCCTAACCAATCTTTTAACGCACCGCCAAGCTACCTCACCCTCACCGAAGCGACCTACTGTGGTATGCTGGATCGCGACGACCCGGACGCTGATTCGCAGCCACAAGTAAAGCTGCCTACATTGTATATTTCAGGGAGACACATTATGTTTGTTCATCTTCCAGAACAAGTTAATGTGTCGAAAACGATCGACACTCAGGTAAATTATGACGGAGCTATCTGTTTGTTTGATGTTAGTGTGTTTGAAATTAGTTAAGTTTTGGACTTCTAACTTAGAGTACGCTTATGTGTTCGTATTGTTCCTAGATGAACAAGATCCGAGCAGTGAGGTACAGCGACACGGGGGGCAAGCGGCGCCGGCTGCAACCTCCGGCAAAAAGGCCCAGAGTTGCGCCAAACATGCGTGAGTGAGAGATTATTCTCCTTCAACTTGCCTGAAAGTAGGTGCTATCGATCTGCTTGTCTTGGTCGAGGAAGCCAATATTAGATTGTCTACTACTCGAAGGCGAACTTGATCAACCACTTCAATAAACTTCTGGTCTTGGCTTGGGTTAATAATATCTGATGGGAGAGCAGGCAAGAGGTGCGCTTGCTCAAGTAAATCCGTAAACATCACGCGTTGGTTTTCCAAAACGCGAAAGCTTGCGATAGTCAACCAAACAGATGGACAACTACTCATCGAGTTGGCGAGGCATAGACACAAATCACTACTGGGAAAGCGTTTCGAGAACTCTGTGCTTTCTCGTTGCAATAGACTTTGCGCAATAAACGCATGTATGAGAAAAATTTCTTCCGAGAATCGCAGGTCAAAAACTTCCCGGTTCGTTAGGTGCCACTCGCAGCCAGTTAGCGATATTGCTGTTCGCAGCATGATAGGATAGACGTTAGGAGATACATGCATATTCCGTTGACGTGCAATAGCGAATACCACAGTATTCAAGTCGAGATTAAGGCCTTCTACAGTGTCAAAATTGTTGAACTCCAGACATAGCGGTGAGAAGTCAACGGTTAGGTATTGTCGATAGTAAGGACTTCGCTTGGCGATGGCTTCGGTGCACTGGAGCACGCGCGCAAGCAAGTATCTTGATTGTCGGTAGTCTTGTCGGTGTAGGACTCTCCTCACCAGTGCGGCAAGGGCACTTGCACATATGTTAGTAATGCGCCCACGATCATCAGAATTTGTGAATGATGTACAGATATGACGCAGCAAGTTCACACGAGTGCGTAAGATGCGGTCGGGCTCGTCGACCTGCCCGGCGTCTTGAAGAAGCCAGGGTATTATGCCGTGCGAAAGCGCCACTTCTTGCCCCAGCTGGAGGCCAGTCCGACCAAAGAGGGTAGCCAGGGTTTCCAAGGCCTGATCCCGCACGATCTGATCATCCGTCGCGGCACTTCCACCCAACCGTAACAATGCGTCGAAGACTTTTCGCTTCTTCAGCACAGCTACATCTCTCGCAGAAACCGTTCCTCTCTTAACTATATCCATCGCGAGAAGACGCACAGCGCTCAGTTGAGGCCCGGATGAGTCCCAATTGAAAAGTTTCGACAAACCTAAACAATCAGAGACGTCCATGCAAGGAGAGCGTAGAAAAAAGAAGGTCACAGCTTTGTTTGCTTCGTGGGCTGGAGCAAGGGCAATCTTCAGTGCTTTCTGATACCACACTGCGAACAAAGGAAGGATCCGCGGCATTGGCATTTGAAATGAATTTTGCAACAGTTCCAAGAGAAACGCGAGCTGCCTTCTGTCCTTGTAAAGCCCCGCTGCTGAACCTTGTTCTACGCCGGCAACAGGACCTACGACGGATGAGAACTGATGCAAGCATGCAAATGACAACGCACGAGTGTCCTGATCATGGGTGGCTATTCCAGTCAGAGCTACCGCGAGAACCCCTTCTCTTGCAATGCGACCAATATCAAGAACAGCAATTCCAGGAGATTTCTTCGCCTCTGTGCAGGCGCAAAAGAAAGTCCGAAGAACGAAGACCGGATCGTAACTGGCATATCTTGCTTGTTCGTCAAGAGATGAGGAGTTCACTGGCGACCACGTGGACATCGCCTGATCAGTGCACGGATCCAACATAAGGTTACATGTTTGTTGAAGTTTCTTCTTATCAAGCCGCGAAAGCACTCCGGGGAACGATGGAGCAAAAAACTCTGTTCTTCTCTCCAGTAGGCCTAGTTTCGATCGACCGCCATTATTTCTGATGGTATCGGAGATCTTGTCCATACAGTTGCGGATTGCCACGTCCGTTGAATTCGATGTGGCGCCATAAAATGATGCCAGCACACCCTCTGTTATGCTAAGGGCTGTTGCGACTTCCTCCTCAAGACTATATCTTGGCATGCGTAACAACGCAGACTGGATCAAGAGTGCTACAGCGGACCCGGTCTCCTTATCAACGCAGACGTCCGAATTCTTCCTTTTTGACCTCTTGCGAAAGGAAGCTATTAAACAGTCTCCATTGTGAGCCCCAAGCGACAGAAGAGATCGCTTGGCTGCCTTGTCCAAGACAAGATCAAGACCTAGAGCTTCGCTGACACATAGCAATGGCAAGCTGAACAAGCTGCAGTGGCTACCATTGTTCTCGTCTGATACCATGGCCGGCCCTTTCGTAAACTTGTCATCAACGCAACAGCCGGCAAGTTGATGTACATACTTCATCAAGTTGGAGCATGCCAAAGTAAGGGACTTTTCCAGGTGCGCAACGTCCTTCCATACAGAATATACTGCGATTTTCCTCTTCCGAAGGCAGCCTATTACATCGTGGAAGCTGTTGAGGATGGAAGAACTAAATATATCGTCCGCATGCAGGTCCATTTCGGCAATCCCTTCGGTGAGAGCGGCAGCATACTCAACCATTTGCAGGTTGGGAACGGATAGAATCAGTCCTCCTTGCGTTTGTGGATGAAAAGCGCTTGCCAACAACATCCAAACGTTTTCCAAAACAACAACATTCCCTTTTGCTTTTGCTTTTCTGAGAATGACAATTAAACTCCCCCAACTTGAATCTGATTGTAGTAAGGTCTCTCCAAGATGGCATGCAGCTTGATTCAGCAGAGATGCTTCCCTTTCGTTTCCTGTAACAAAACGTTGTTTGCAGGTTGCCACGGCGTTTATAACAGTCTTGCAAACGCCGTCGTGGTTGTATCTCAGATCCGCTTTGAGGCTTTGAAACAGCTTCTTTCTCATCAAGATCCCTACGAGAGGATACACGGTTTGCAAGCATGCTGCAAGCTCGTTTTCTGTGACAGTCGTTATGGTGGCCAGGGCCGCTCTGGTCAAGGCAGGAAAATATCTCACGAGGTGAGATACCAGAATGGCATTCGCAAGTGACATACTGGAAAACGAAGGAATACCGACTATCGATTTAGATCGAAGACTGGCGCGTGAAAGGATGCGTGCTCCGACTTTTTCATGCTTCACCAGGCGCAAGATAAGTGAGAACGCAAACGTACTGCGTTCCTCGCTTCCAGATTGAGTTTCCCACTCGTTCAATATCCTGAGTGCCCCCGCTATGAAGAGATCGACGTCCGCGCTTGTCCAGTTATGCTTGCTATTGACTGCCACCAACATAGACTCCTGAAGAAAAGACTCAGATTCAGAAATGAGCGCGAGCTTATCCAGCGGGAATGCGAGAGTTTTTGAGGCTGTCCTCATCAAATGATGTAGTGGGTTGCCCTGGCCTACACGCAATCCAAAGCCCAGAGATAGCATGAAATCATCTGTTGTCAAAGTTCTTCTCAAAAGAAGAAGGTGTTTCGAAATCTCTCCTTCTGAACGACCTTCTCGAAGGCTGTGGAGAAGAGTGCCGAGGTGGATTCCAGCCTTGGCGTTCAGAAGTGAATCTTTGGATAAAGTACCGAATGGGTCGCAGGCATGGTCGCCCTCTGTTCCTTCTCTGAAACCTTGCCATGCCTTCCATACAAATCCATCATCAGCAGCAGCAGTCCGTCTCGTCAAACTCTGAGAATGTTTGTGATTCTGCAAGTGAAGCAATGATATTGCCTGGATCAACTTCAGGTACGGGGTCGTCATGTAATTTGATGGTCCGGTGAAGAGGCGCTGAGCAACCTGGCATTGCTTCAGAGCTACTGCTTCCACATCCAACCCATCACATTCTAATCCAAGTCCCAATTTTCGAATAGCGTCATCGAGAAAGCCACCATCGAGAAAGGACCCCATTAGCCGCTGGCAGGCAATATTTGTGGTGAGGACGCTTTCTAGAAAACTTCGGAAATGTAATTCCTGTGGGGTAGTCCTGTTTTCCGAAGCCGTCAATTTCCTTAATTGATATATACAACGTACGGTAAATAGCGATGTTGAGCTTGTATTTGGCCTGCACGTTGAATCGTCGATGTTGTGGAGGTCATCGTAGAGTCGAAACGGCATGCTCCATGCCATGAAGGCAATTTTCTCCAGGGCAGTTGCAGACTCAAATAAATAGGTGTTTTGTTTGGAAAGAAGAGATAAAAAAATGTCCACTTCGTTTTCGGTCCCGGTGGGAAAAAGACCAGTGTGCATCAGTATATCATGGCTCAAGCGCCACAAGCGTGTCGAAGCAGCCTTGTCGCTAGTTTGCGTTGCTCGTATAATTAACTTTGCAAAGTACCCTTTCTTCAAGATGGACGACAGCGCATCACACGGAGATACAGAGAACGCGGCGCGAATGGAATGCTCCGACATTTCTAAGTCGTTTCCAGCCATTTGAAGCGATAGTTTTACGGGGTCTGCCTTCGTCCCTCCGTCGTCATCGCACAGCAGTTCCTGGTACACAGAGAGCAGTTTTTGAGAACCGCCGTCGGTATCTTGGTGGTTTTTCAAGTGGTATTGAACACGGTCCAAAGAGGGCAGGAATGTTTCGGGTCGAGCCAGAGCGTCTCTATCCGCTTGTATCACTTTACAAAACGCATTCATAATGGTGATTCCAGTGTTTCTGATTAAAGGGTCCTCGTGTGCAAGGCACTTTGTGAAAAACCCATTCTCGGCAAACTTTGTTATCGCACATGGCATCCTAAGCACGCATTCTGATATGACGGCGGCCGTTGCAAACCACGAAGACGACAATTGGGGCAGTTCACGAACATACTTTCCCCTTTCCAACAGCCCTTTCGCAACCTGGGGTTGGCTATCGATAACATTGAGCACAAACTTAACGGTTGCAATGCCATTGGCGATGACTCTGTTCGTAAGAGCGCTAATGACGTCTCGCATATATGAGACTGCAGAGTCCATGGCAACGGATTGAAAGAGCTCAAGCGCGAGCTTTCGGAGTCGTTGATGCTCCGGTACCACTTGATGAGGCACGTGTTCAAGGGGCGGGATGTCAGCAGCGGCAATTTGAGCAAGAAGGTCCAAGACCGGAAATGCAAACGCAGCCCTCTTGGTTGAAACGTGGGACAAAGCGAGGAGATGGCGTTGCAGGGCAGTGAGAAAATCGATAGCGGCATTCAGCTCCTCTCTTTGGACGTGCGAAGGCAAGACTGATGCCTTCTTTACTCTCTTTTTTGTAGGAATGTGTTTCTTTTTCTTTCCCTTGTCTCTGACTGGGTCCGTTTTACTCGGTTTTTGCGGATAGGCCTCCTCGACCACACGGACGGTGACGACGTTGAGACAGTTAACAAGCACGGGTCTGTTTTTGTGGGCAAGGCTAAATGCGACATCAAAGTCGCCAGACGCAAGCAGGTGGTACACGAGTGCCAAAAACGGGACCCTGCAAAAATTATTGGCAGACGAACAGAGCTTCTCGTGCAGAACGTCGTCGACGAACTTGAAGCGATTGAGGACCTCCTTCGCTAGTACGGGATGCGTCTGTGCGACGAGGGCCAACAAGACGAGGGCCTTCTTCGCGCACGCGGGCTGATCATGCGCCAAGACGTCCCTGAGGAGCACGGCCCTGGTCTTAACGACCTCCTTAACCACAGCGCGCGCGGCCTCCCGCGTCTGGGCCGGGTTGGGGAGATGGTGCGCGTAGCGCACGATAGCGATGAGGCAGTCGAGCGCTAGCGCAACGAGCGTCGCGTTGACAGTGATGGCGCGCAGGGCGGTGAAGAGCTCGTTCGCCGCGGGGCTGTACTGGACGTAGGCGGCGACGACGTCCGGGGTCGACGGGGAGGTGGCGTCGCGGTGGAAGTTGTGCAGCGCGGCCGTGGCGGCAGAGACGGCTGACGCGTCGCGCAGGGCTAGACCGCTCGTCGTCTTGCCGATGCCCACGCCCGCCGAAACGACTCTGCAGAAATGCGCGGCATCGAAGGAAGCGCGCACGTCGTCGACGAAGGCCGCCATGGCGCGGGTGAGACTCACGGGAGGAAAGGGGGGAAGGACGGGGGTGGCGAGGGAGAGGGGGGCGGCACCCATCTTCGGGGGACGCGGTCGTCGACGTCGACGCGGACACACGGGCGGTGGCCTGGGCGATCAAGAGGAGGACAGTGCACCAGTGGTGGGCGGCCACGTGAACATGCTGTACACGTGTTGTTGAAAGTGTCATAGATCCAAAAAGAGAGAAATATGATAAATAGTACTGTACAATTGTACACGTGTAAAGTCAGGACAACAAATGCATCGCTGGCGAAAAGGGATTGATTCGGTAACAGCCAACCAGCACCTGCCCAAGTGCTCCTAAGTCCTCCCTACTGTATGGCGTAACGCCGTGCGCCCCTGTTACGTGCAAAGTCCTTTATACTTATATAGCTCTCAGTTATTCCTATTCGTTACAATTCTACCTACTAAACCTTTCACCCTTCCCATGCAGCTCATTCCGGACTCGAAAACAGCGTCCGTACTTCGGCGATGTGCCGGCCCTCGAAAACGGGCCTGATGTCCAACATCGCCTCTAATCTGAGCCACAGCCTCTCCCATAAAAAAAAAACCCTCTACTTCTAAACATTTCCAGCCGCTCCCTCCTGGTCAGGCTCCCATGCTGTCGCCGTCTGAGCGTCGGCAGGAGACTCTGAAGCAGTCGAGGAGTCGGAGGCGCGTGCGGCAGCGCGCCGTCTGAGGAACACGGCGAGGAGCACGGCGGCCACAACGGCCAGGGCCCCGATGGACCCTCCCACGACCGCGGCGATGTTCACGCCGTCGGACTTGGCCTGGTCGCCGGCCACTACGGACCCGCTATTCTCGGAGAACTCGGGCGCGGGCGTCAGCTCCGGTGAGGCGTCGGGCAGCTCCTCGCCGTCGGAAGCCTCCGGGTCGTCGGAGTGTTCGGTGGAGGTGGTAGGACCGTTCGGCGGGGCCGGCCCTGTGGGTTGCGGGTTTGTTCCGGATGAGGTTGCAGACGAAGGCGGGGCCGGGCTCGCGGACGGCTTGGGTGCGGGTGCGGACGGGGCGCCGGCAGGTGGCGGGGTAGAATGCGAGTTGGACTCCTGCAGCTCGCCGCCGATGTCGCTGACGAAGACTGGCCTCCTCGAACTCTTCGTCTGGAAGACAGCACCAACGCTCTTCATCCACGGCACGAACGAGGAGAGACGAGTGTAGCCGCCGGGTAGATTGGGCCTCGCGCAGCCGACGCCAAACGAGACAATACCGACTTGCACGAGCCTTTCGTCGTCATCATACACAACAAGCGGACCGCCAGAGTCAGCCTTGCACGAATCGCACAAGCCCTCCTCATACCCGGCGCAGATGTGCTGGTTAGCGGAGAGTTTGTCGGCGATGCGCGGGCTGGCGACCTTGTAGTTAGCCTGGCACACGTCCGACTGGACGACGGGGATGTCGACCTGGTAGAGGCGATTGTCCGTGTTGGGGTTAGAAAGCTCGTCGGTGTGCCCCCATCCCACGGATCTGACAAACTCTTGAACCTCCGGGACGGCGGGGTTATCGTTAACGTAGACGAAGTTGACGGGGCCGGGGACGTCGTCGGCGAGCTCGACGAGCATGATGTCGTTGAGATGTTCTGTATGTTTGGGGTGGCGATGGAGGGCCTTGATGCGGACCTGGCGGCCGGCGTCCGAGGTTCGACCGGCGACGAAAACGTCGGCGTCCGGGGTGACGGCGCAGTGGGCGGCGGTGAGGGCCCAGCGGGCGGACAGCAGCGAGGCGGCGCAGCCCTCCCAGTGGAAGGACAGGAGGTGCGAGCGCAGGAAGGGGTCGGCGGGGACGCCGCCGACGACGCGGGCGGCCGGGGCGGGCGGCGTGGGCAGGACGACGGGGCAGGTGAAGGTGGCGGCGGCGCGGCGCAGGAAGCGCGGGGCCGGGGTGGCGGCGGCGAGCGGCAGGAGAGCTAGCGTGAGGAGAGCTAGCGTGAGGAGAAGGGCGAGGGCGGGCATGGTGGAGAGCGTACGGGATCGCATGGAGGTTGTTGTGCGGGTGGGCGTGTGCGGGGGAGGAGGGGGAGGAGGGGGAGGAGGGAGGGAGGTGAGCGGGTGTCTTGGAGGGATAAATAGGGGTGGGAAGCGGAGATTAGGGTGGTGAGCGGGTGTTTTGGAGGGATAAGTAGGGGTGGGAAGCAGGCGAGGGGTTTTGCGGCACGTACGGTACGGAGGGGGAAACGTTACACGGTATACCCTTAGGGTACTGTACCCTTCGAAGGGTATGCGATGTGCGATGTGTGGTGTTAGGGAATCGGCATGTCGGGGGCGATTATGGAGGAGGCGGCGGGGCGGGTATGATAAAAAACTTTATTTACAACCAGGGAGAACCCGGCGGGGCGCGGCGGGGCGCGGCGGGGCGCGGCGGGGCGCGGCGGGGCGCGGCGGGCGCGGCGAGCTTGTGCTTGTGACGCCCCGTATGACGCGTTCTGCGGCAGAAGGGGTGATACGGGGCGTGACGCGCGCAAGAAGGGGCGTTACTACGTGACCGTGGCGGTGCGGCCGATGGATGATGCGCTGGATGCGCTGCTGAAGGGCACGGACACGCGAGCCGATTACACCCGCCCCGTGTCGCCGCTGTAAGGGCATGTCTGTGCGACGGAGTGATTGGGCACGCTCAAGGCCCGCCCTTTTCCCCGCCTTTTCATTGGATGCGTGCCCCGGATTTGTGGCACGGATTGCTGCCAGGGGACTCCCCCGCTGCTCTCGCTACTGTCGCCCGCTACTGTGCCATCTGCTGCACTGCATGCTGCGTGCGTCCTCGATACAAGTTTTTGGAGATAATGGTTTCTAGGCTTACACGTGTGGGCCAGGCGGCAAATGTCTAGTTTGTAACCTTTTTCCAACACCCACTCACGTGTGCCGAAGCTAGCCTTGGTAAGGTTGGGTCCGCGAGAAACCGCATCCGCTCGTCTCTCGCTCAACATGGCACTGTTGCTGATCTCCGCCCATCATAACAAGACACTCATGATTTGAATTGCATCCCGCGCAACGGGTGGACGGCCTCTCCTCTCATCCGTTTAGGCGCGGCACGGTGCCCCGCCTAAACGAAACCTCTTCACAACGAATAAACTTTACCCTTGGTACTGCACTGTGTAACACCGCCCCCCGTCCCACAACCAACATGTAATTCTGATGTAAGCCGGCGCCCGCACATCCTTCTCGAGACGTCACACTCATTCGCACTGCATCCAAAATGCGCCATACACGTCCCATGGCCCCCGTCGAGATTCCTTCACCAAAAAACAAAAGAAAAACGTCCTTCCAGGACGTGCCGCACCGTACAGTGCCTAACCGCGCGCCCCACACCACCTCCCCGCCGAACCTTCGCCACCCCTCGTCTCCCATCTTCCACTCCATCCCGACCCTAACGAAGAGGTGATCCTACCCTAACGAAGAGGTGATCGGGATGGAATGGAAGATGGGAGACGAGGGGTGGCGAAGGTTCGGCGGGGGGGTCTTCGTTACCAAAACCCCACAAATATCTTCTCTCCTTCCACTCACGCCACCCTCCGAACACCATCACCACGCCCATCACCACGCCCATCACCACGCCCCTTCAACCCCGCCTTCCCACCGCCCTCACCGCCTCGCGAGAGGTATCGCAACTTGCATCCCCCATCACTCCATTACATACTGTACGATACCTGACCCCACCGGAGATAAACTTTACCGTACCAAACTATCTCCGCCACCCCCCATGCTTCGCGCGAGATCCCCATCTCCGACACCGGGTTCCATACACAACAACATGTTGTCAACAACTCCCTGCAAAAGCCTGCCGCGCCCCGCCCGCATCTCTCCCCGCATCATCCCGGGACCGGGCCCCCCCGGACCCGCGCCCACGCATGCCCACGCATGCCCCGCCTCTACAAGTCCAGCGTGGCAAAAACGCCCCGAAAATCGCAACCCCCACCCCACCCTACAGCACCCTTGAGTGGTACACGTTTACCGCCGCGCCTTACTGTCCCCGCGGCATCGCCATGCGCCCTCGTCACACCGACTCACTCACTCACCCGCCCACCCGTCTGCCCCCTCACGCCGACGCCCCGCCATCAACGCACACCCGCGCCGCGTCACGCTCGCCGTTAGCAAAACCGCCCTCGCCGCCCCCGCCATGCCCGCGAAACGCGAAACACCTCCGCTCGCGCCCCGCGCGCCCGGCCCGTGGACACCCATAGTTTTGGTTTTATTTTATTTAAAAGTCTACTTATTACTGCGCGCCGCCGTCATGTCCGCGCACGCCCCCCTGCCCCCCGGAGAACGGCCCGTACAGTCGTGACACGGGGGGCCGCCGCGGGTGCGCACGAAAACAAAAACGAAGCCACGACAATAAAAAGAGCCATTCCCCTCAAGAAAAGAAAAGCGCCTGTTAGGACTGGCCCATGCGTGACATGTGTCCCTCGTTCCGCATCGCCCGTCACCCACAAACCTCCTCAACCTCATGCACCTACAAGTATGGATCTGTCAAGGTCCATCTTTGCTACGAACAACGTCCTTGTTCTTTGATCACACACACTGGTGCACCTGGTGCGCTGGCTGTGTTATAAGCCGTGCGCTGCTACCTGACTGCCACGTTTGCATATCCTGAGGAGGACATACCAAGGGTACGGGTCCTAGTTTCTGAATTGAGGGCCGACCCGCGGCGCGTGAGGAGTCGCCACTTTTTGCAACACCAGTGCAAGTCTAGAACGGAACTGACGAACAACAACAACAACATGTTGACATCGTACCGTGCAAGCACATTTGTGGTATTTCACAGAAATACGCAGGTGAGGTAGGAAAAATAAAGAGAATTTTATGTTCGTCAACCCTTCGACCGGATTGATATCTCGCAATGATAGGGGCTCGTGTGATCGAGTCACTCCACCTGCGGCATGTCGAACACTATTCTGTCTGTCTCTCCTTCTTCCTCTCTCGCTATCCGAGAGAGGGCCTTGCATAGAGGCAGAGAAAGAGGCAGAGAAAAAAACAGGCAAGTGCATCTACCTTACAGTAGTGCACAGAAGTGCACACGTAGGTCGCTAATTTCTACAACATTTGTACTGTACGACGGGCAGGTCTGGCATGCACCAATCGTCTCCCAAGAACACACCCCGGGCTCCTTTAAGAGCGAAGAAGGGCAAGATGTTTTGACATGATGTCATTTGAATGTCAACATTCCATCCACGTGGTTCATCTTGTGTGCAACGTGTTCGACGAACGGTCGGCCTCTTCCTTGGAAGAGTACAAAAAAAAAAGGCAGATTTTGCGTTTAGGGGGGCGATCAGGTGCATTTTGGTGGCAACAGACGGGTGAAATTGACTTTTCTGTTGTGAACAGGGTCCGAATCATGAATTGTTTTTGCAAGGGCGGGGCGAAAGGAGGAAGGAAAAACAGCAGCATGATGGACCCGAAAACATACTGTACACGACACGTAATGTACTGCTTGAAAGGGGTTTTGAGAGATCCCTGCGAGACGTTGTTGACAACACGATTGACATCAATCGTGGACTTCCAGCAACCCCAAAGATGAGCATTGCCGGAGTCGAGGAAGAGGCATGGTCGCAGTAAATATGCGGGGTTGACTTGAACAGGCCAGACAGAACCCCGGTTATGATCGCGAGAGAGTGGACGCACGCCAACAAAAAGGGATCAATCAGAAACAGGTTTTCGCAACGTGTAGCCGCACTACAGTACTTCTGTCCCTCGAGGCATGTGGAAGAAGCATGTGTGCAGAGTCTGCACACCCGCGATTTCATTAAATCATGTTTTTGGGCGCAATTGCGCGCAAAAACTGCCAGATAATGCTGCAAAATGAAAAAATCACCACTTCGGCCTTCTTCAGGCGACCCACCGATAATCGCGATCAACCATCGAAATCGAGATCCCCCATGCCTTCCTAGGGTCCCTGTAGCCCATCTCCATCATGGCGATGTAACGTGTAAGTCGTGGCTACCATTGTCTGAAGTCGTTTCTTCATGAAGAATCATGAAGTTTCTCAGTTTCTGCATGAATAAACAAGCAAAAAGCAAAAATGAAAAAACAACCCGAAATCGCGGGTGCAGACGCGCAGCTCTTTACAAAAACCATGGGCTGTTGGGCCGTGATCAAAATACTGCAAAACTAGTGTCTAGACGACCGGCAATTTGCCTCATATGAGGTCAGGCTTGGCCTCATATGAGGCCGGGTTTTTTTTTGCAAAAAAATATACATTAAATCGAAATTTTATAAAATCAGTTTAGACACCATTTCTTTAACCAATATTCCCTCGGCAATAGCTTCCTGCAAAACATCGAGATAGCAGTTGTGAATACACAGAAATACTAAGAATCTAACATAGTTTCAACTATCGGATGACATTTTAAACAGGCGTTTTGGTTTCGAAGATATCAACAAAAAACGTTTCGATGTTCTTTAAAAAAGCTTCTTCTTTAGGTATTCTCAAAAAGCCTGGAAAGGACGTGAAGATCTCACCAAGCTCCACCCTTCCACAGCGCAGAAGTCAACTGCGGTGGCGAGAGTATCTTTTTCCATTTTGTTCAGCTAGCACAAGTCGAGAAAAATTAAGTTGAAAAGTGACCTCATATGAGGTCAAATGGCCTCATATGAGGCCATTTGTCACCTAGACACTAGAAGGCGCGGCAGCGTTGGTCGCGTGCGCCCAACGCTCACCACTGGCTGTCGTTCGCCGGCTGGCCCGGCGAGGGCGCAGGCGCGGCGAAGCCGGACTGGCCTTGCGTGGGGGCAGACGTCACGAAGCCGGGCTGGGCGAACTGCTGCGAGGCGTACTCTTGCGGCTGACCATACTCCTGCGGTTGACCATACTCGTGCGGCGCGGCATATTCGTGCGCGGCATATTCGTGCGCGGGCACTGCGGCGACGGGAGCCTGGTGCAATGCCGGGTTGATTGGCGGCGGCGGCGCGGGGACGACGAAAGTGCCCTGCGACGGGTCGGAGGGGACGTCGCTGGGTGCGGGGTTCGGGCTCACGGCCGCACGCCACGGGTCGGAGGTGACGGAATCGGGGTTGCCGCTGTCGTTATCTGGAGTGTTGATGAGTGGCTGGGTGGCAAACGCGGGGTTCAGCGAGGCCGGGTTGGGCGGGACGGGAATCTTGCGCTTCTTGCGGCGGCGGCCCTGAATGATGAGCGCGATGATAGCGGCGACGAGCAGGAGGGCGACCACGGCGCCGACGGCGATGCCGACGATGACACCCGTGGAGAGGGATGAGGACACCTCCTCGTCCCTGATGTTCTCGGTGACCATAATCTCCAGGCCCTCCTCTTGCAGATCCTCGAGAGCCTCTGTGAAGACGGAAATGCGTAAGAAGACGTGGGACGCCTTCCGCGCGCACGCGAAGTTCTGCGTGACGCCGACCACGACCGGGAGCTTGTCGGGGTCGTATTGCAGCAGCGGGGCGCCGAAATCGCGGAAGCTGAGTCGGGGGGTTAGTATGTGGAAGGGCGCGAGAAGCGAAGGTCCGGAGGGGAGGTTGTGCATAGCTTACCAAGGCCCGCAGGAGTCCTTCTTCTTGTATCCCGCGCACAGGGCCACTTTAAAGTCGGGGGGTGTTTCCAACTCGCACTTGTCGTTCTCGAGCACAGGGATGTCGGCTTGTTTCATAATTCCTCTCATGCCGTCAGCTGTGGCGTCGTCGTCCTCGCTTGTGGCTCCGAAGCCCACAACGCGTGCATAGGTGTTGACACGCGGGACGGCGAGGGCGACATTGACGCTCAGCGGTTTCCCGGCGGTGGTGTTCAAGCGCAAGAGCACGATGCTGGATTTACCGCCGCCGGCCACGGAGACCTCCCTGATGAAGGTCTGGGTGACGGCGAGGAAGTCATCCGGCATGGCGTCGGCGAGGTCGCGCACGCCGATGACGACGCGCGACATGTCGAAATCGGCACATTGCGAGGACGTCAGGACCCACGACGGGCTGATTAGCGCGCCCGTGCATACGTAGTCGTCGCCGGAGAAGATGGCGGCGATGGACTCGCGCAGGTTGTCCGAGGCCGTGTCGGCGTTGGCCAGACGCACAGGCGGCGGATCGATGCCCGGGAAGCGGTCCGGGCACTGCGTCGAGCGCTGCTGCGCGAGCGCGAAGGCGGAAGAGAGGGCGAAGAGCAGGAGGTGGATGAGCATGGCGGTGGGTGCGGGGGAGATGGCGACGCGGAATCTGGCTCCGAGTGGGGAGCATACAAGGATGAGTAGAGTACGGGTACGTTGTACGGTTTCAGTCAGTGATATTGCGACACTGTATTGTTGCCCGGGGTCGTAATACTGAGGCACGCGTGTCACCGCGCTGTGATTGGCGCATACAGCGGAGGTGTATCCCGCGCCCCAGTGCGCGGGGGCCAAGTGGCGTAGCGCTCCTCCTTGACGTGTACGGGACCATATGCCTTGCTGTATGCTCGTCGCCTGCACCCGGTTGGGGCACAGCCCCCTTGCTCTCCTCCCATTCCTCCGGGTTCTCTAAGTTTGTTTAACTTAATGTGTACCTTATCATATACCTTACATCTTTATTTACAACAGAGCTAAGACCCTCGTTCCTCCCTCCCCTTCTTCCTCCCCCCCCCTTCTTCCTCCCCTTCTTCCTCCCCTTATTCGTACTTATCTCTCTGCTTAACCGCAGTGTTGGAACACCTCCCGTCGACTTCCCCCATGAAATTGAACTCAAGAACCTCCTGAAGTTGGCTTGGCCATTTTCTTCCGACTGCTGTGAAGTTTGATAAGAAGATCTTCTCTGTAGCTCGTGCCACGTTTGATCATCTTAACGTAGTATTTCATTC